TTTGATTCTGATCTTGCAAATGCTCGATTTTTTGTGAATAAATGGTTTATGTCATGATAAAAAGCCCTTTTACAAGTATAATATTAATAGCGAATATGTTTGTACATTATTATTAATAATTTAATAATGTCGTAACAATCTACTTATTAAAATGATTTCAGTAGTAATTTATTTATAGGTTAAAGCTTAAATTGTTAAATATGAGTCTTGTTTCACATACAAACCTCAACCCATAAAAGCGTGATTAACAATAACTTTTGTCGTATGTAATATTTATCAACGGTTTATTTAAATCACATTTAAAGTAAACTCTTTCTTCTGTCTCTTTATGCCCATTTACTGAAACTGCATTTAATATGTTTAATTTCATACAAAAATATAATATAAACCAAAACTCTTGCAATAGGTTTAATAAAAATGTTAATCAAAGTTAGATGTAGTTTCCATTGAATGATTTATTTAACCTGTCATTTGTACAATTGAAAAAAAAAATATCCATAATTTTAAATATTTCAATTAGAAAAACAAGATTCGTGGAATGATTATCTTATTTAATGCTTTCATCACATAGGAGATAATAACAATACAGTTTGTTATTGGAAGAATAATCAAAGAATAATAATCAACGCCTTTGATATTGAAATTCAATTACATTTTCAATTTAAAATACAACACTTATATCTAGAAGGGTATTGATTACATTTAAGAGTAGTAAACTAAAATGAAAGTTAAATTAGTTAACAACGCATGATTAAGTATGTGCATTATCATGTAGCAAAGCAAACGAAAATCTTCAAGATATAAGCAATAAATGAAAAAGCATTTAATTAGCTGATTCAAAAGAAAATTCATTGCTGCTGATTCAATTTAATATAATTAATTTGAGAGGATAAATTCATCATTAAATTCATCAAATTATTTGATGTTTATACCGTTTAAATTACGAATAATCTGCACAATTTACGTGCAGCACATTTTTGTTGTTTTTTGGTTTTTTTTTAAATATATTTCTCTTATATTTTTTGATATGACGTATTATGTAATAAAAGCCGACTTACACGCAAACTATATCGCCATCATCAACGTGCCACCAAAGTTGAGCCAGGTCATCATGAACGTCTGAGTAATCTGACCAGGCTCTTTACTCTTGATAGCTCCATTTGTTTTTTTGTTTTTTGTTTTTTTTTTGTTCTTTTTTGTATTTTAATATTTTAATCCCTGAACGTTCAAATAAACTGTTCCGAATCCACAGCTGCACGAATCTATTACACAGTTAAAACGGGTTAAGAGTAAAATTTCTAATCATTTTCTTATTCGTTAACGCAACTAATTAAATGCATTAAAATGCCGAGTTTTGTTATATTAATACGGTTTACGTACCAAAACTTAACCTGTACAAGGAATGCTGCACCCAAAATGATATTATAATGACTTTATACAAAACTAGTGTATTTTTAGACATGCACTCAAAACGTTCTAAAACGCACGTGTACATTAACGAGCGAAACAATAGATTAAAAAAGGAGCCATATAAACAAAAAGGCAGCAAAGGACCTTGAACTATGTAATAATTGCATTAACGACCGATAATTACATTCGTATTAACCAATTTGTGATTGTATATCTATCAGTTTAAACAGTTAAATGATAATGAAGACTATGATAAAGAAATGATTAAAATTGTCACTTAACGCTTTATTTGACTTTTTTTAAAACAAAATCCGAGGTTTATCTAAAAATCTTCGATAAAGTTACTCTTTTGTTTTGAAAGTTACTCTTTTGTTTTGATTTTTTTTTCTGATTTTATGTACCCGTCTTAAAACAACTTTGCATTGATATGCATTATACTTGATTTGATAAATAAACAGGAAGGCATTTCTGTTTGTTAAATAAAAAAATATATAGGATACTGCCTCCCTCTATATAAATCAGCATATCTTAAATTAATATTTTATGATAGGTAATTATAGTCTGTTCTATTAAAGTCTTATAATTACTATTTGGTACCATATGATCGAACAAAGGTTTTTTATAAGTATCTTCAGAAAAATATATTTATGTTTTAGAACATTATATTTAATGACACAGGCTAAACAAAAACATATGCTAAATATGGCAAAATATTTATATAACAATTTGTTTTGCCCCGGTGCTAACGAAATAAGAATATTTGTGTATTTTTCATTTAAATTTAGTACACTAGAAGAGTGCCTAACTAAGATTTGAATTCATTTGCGATGTTTCAAATTTCTAACTTTCCATATTAAAAAGTTGAATTCTGTTTATTAAGCCGATGCTATGGGGCGTGGACGGTATATTGCACTTTCCAGTACCGTCCATGAAACGAGCCTGCAGCATTCTCAATATTGTCGTTTGAGTTGTTCTTAAGGTATTCCGTTTTCTCTAGTATTTTACTTAAAAATGCACTTTGTATTTAAAATTTTGATAATCATAAATCATAAATCTGGTGCTTTAAACTATACAAAAGTTGTAAAATTTGCTTATCAAAATTAGCATATAAACAATTCACGAGATTACAGTGCAAAAACAGTCTACATGTACTTCCTGAAATTGCAAGGAATTCAATGGTACAAGTTTAAAAGAAATATATGCTTTAAATAAAAGGTAGTGATCGGAAATAGTGATGCTTGCACATGGTATATAAATGCAAGAATGAAGATGGTGAAGTTATTTCCTTTTTGCACCATCAGAATACATGATATAAAAGTTATTATTATAATTAAGTTAAACAATAAATTCATAAATAAACATACCCACAACAGGATGAATAAATTTCCTTATCTCGTTTCCGGTGTCTATTCTAGTAAAAAATTCTATCGTTTTAAACAGTTTCTTCCAGATATCTAACCATCATGAATTATCGTTTGAAAACAGTGTAAAGTACCTACGGAATAACGCAAAGTCGTTCGATATATATCAATTTTGAAATCAGACTTAGGATCGATTAACCTTGAGAAATATGATATAAAAGTATTACAGATAATTGCAATGTTTATAACTATCATTTTACACGGTTATGGTTTACCCCCGTAATACTTAAACAGTAAAATTATCATACTGGTATGACTTTTAATTGTACTGTTTTGAAAGTTAACGCGATTTTCGAACAGTTATAATAGATAATATCGTATATCATTGATTTACCGAAAATATCAAAAGAAACTATTTTTAAAGTTCTCAAGTTTTGCTACATTAGTTTGGTATAATAGTAGGTACTTCATTAAACGCGCTTGATTTGAAAAGCGGCCTACAATAAGTCACATTGTATGTTTTTTGCATTTCCGTATATACTTGTTAAATCGTAGTTTATTTGCAAGTTGTGACAGATGTATTGCTATGAATTTTTCTTAGATAATATTTTTTTTCTTTTTTATAGATAAAGTGTTGTCTTTTTATATACATCTTATTTCTTTGAAGAAAAATTCGGCCTCTATGCTATCTCCAAAATGTATTTTTCTTCATTACTTAGATCCATATCACCACAAGAGTGGGACAGTTGGAGACATTGGAGGGTATTAAATATCAATTAAACATAATTAGACTTCTAAAATTTCGCCTTAATCCCTTCCGTGAATCACGTACCCGCCGCCCTCTGTAAGGATCATGTTACTACCTATGATTAAAAAAAACAACACTGTTCACTTATTTTGCTAGCAGCAGGTGGTCAGAGTGTCATGCATCAGTTATACGTGGGCCCTATGTGACCACCATATAAATTGACGTTTACAACACTAAAATAATATTAGTGTATAAAACTTCATGTTTCCTTGTATATTTGTTTGAGTAAATGTTTTACACTAGCTTGAACACATTATTTAACCGCTGTAAATCAGTACATCTAAGTTTTCTCCAAAGCGCCCGACTTGTAATCCCACGTGACTTCTGAATCAGCGGTGAAAGACAATTGACCATTACAGTCAATGTCCGAGGTCAATTGCAGAAATATCGCCTCGTTCGAGGATTGAACCAACGACCCTTGGATTACAAATCGGAATTTCTACCTATATTAATTTAAACGGACGTATTTATAGCTGTAAGCCATTACGAAGTGTAGTATTCATTTTTAAAGAATTCTGTTTTCATCATTACAATTGTAATAGCCTACTGAGGGTTTTAATTGAATATTATGTCAGTTATTTCACACCTCATGAAATATAACCAATGACTTTTCAGCGTTTGAACGATGTGATGTCCCTATTATCAGTTCCGATCTCATTTATTAAGCCTCGTTTACATTTCAAGATTTACTCTAAAAATCCGTACCAAATTCATATTGTACCCACAATATATCCTCGTTTTAATTTTCAGAGTTCAAAAATATCTATATAAAATGCATATCGTACTCCATTTTAGCCTCAATTCCATTTTCAGGGTAAAAACAATATATCAATGTTTTATTGTACTTGAAGAAACTGAAGAACTGCAAAAAGTCGAAAAATGTGAAATGAAGAGGTCGTAAAACATAGTAACAATACGGATTCTATTGAACTCATAGACAACTGCAAAATCCATATCAGACTCCGTTTGCTCGTTCAATATTAACAGCTTACAACTTTATGCGTACTCTTTTGAAAGCCTTGTTCATCTTTGAATGTCTTTCATTATACTATATTAAAATATGCCAGTGTAAAATGTAATGGTAATTGTTGTATGACACAGTAAGTACTTCACATTGTGCAGTATTTATATTCACTATCCAATTTGATCATACTATTACTGAGGTCTTCTCCACCGGTAAAGCTCGAAAGTCGTCAAAGGATTTTAATTTTCAGTATAACCTCAGATCAACAATAGTACACGCCATCGCGATTTAAATTCTTGCCAAGATATTCTGTAATAGGAAGCTCTAGAGCATTATATCTATGGAATAAAAGCAACAGGAGCATCACATTTTAGGTTCTTACTTTATTTCTCAGTAATATGTACATACAGGGGCTATAATCTATTTGGAAAGGTTTTATTTTTTAAATTTTTCCTCGAACAAATATCATTAAACTGAATGTCTTAACAAGTTGTTGCTGTCCCGGTATATGTGAGAGCTGGAGTTGTCATATTTACCCAAAAGATTGTCTTTGACTGGACCAATGTACACCTACAGTTAACAGAAACGAAACTTTAAAGAACATATTATATATACGATTCATGAATGTTTTATGAAAAACTACCTATAACTATCATAGTTATAAAATGTTTTCTTTCTATAATGTGAAAATATATTATGTACCTTTATTGGCTTAAATGTAATGTTGTAAATTATGAATTCATTTTTGTTTAGTTTGCTATGGCTTCATATTTTACTGATAGAGATGCCCATTGTAATGAAACATTGAGAAGAGATTAGAAAAAATCAGAACAAAGTTCAGCAAGGCAAGGCCACGTTCACAGAACGCAACCCCAGACAAAACCCAGCCCCACCAGCAGGGCACCCAAAAGGCACCGGACCATTAACGGGAAGGGACATAATGGCGGGAATCGAATAAGTTACCAACAATGCTGATGTAACAATTAGTATGCAAATGACACCATCAATGCCGCCCAACATGGCAAAATTTGGAATGATGTTAATTCGGTTCTATGGCGTCTCTTCATAGACGAAAGTAACCGTCTTCACATCCCCCACATTGCCCCTTAAGCACCGGCTTATTAAACAACAAGAATTTGTAACAGAGTTACCAACGTCCCCCGCCTCGGGGAATTTTTATATGAAGCATGAAATTGTACTATTTCAAAAGATTGAGATATGGATCTCAGGGCTTTCAGTCCAAACTTATGATCAATACTAGTTCTGCAAATACAACAATAAATAAATTAAAGAAATAAAATGAAACACGGAATTTAAAAATTTATCATGTAAAGCTTTGACCTCTAAGTGTGACCTTTACCTTGGAGTTAGGGGTGCAGTTGTTATGCACGACATATCGTCTTATTAGTATTAACTATGTGTGCCAAGTATTTTTTAAAATCCCTTGAACTCTGAAGAAGATATAGATCGGGCACAACATATACCCTATAACAGACTATGTAAATCTTTGACCTCTAAGTGTGACTTTGACCTTGGAGGTAGGGACACAGGTGTTACGCATGATATATCATCTTATCATTGTGACTATTTGTGCCAAGTATTTTCAAAATTCCTTGATCTATGAAGAAGGACACAAAATATACCATATAACAGATTGTTAACCTTTGACCTCTAACTGTGCCCTTGAACTTGGAGGTAGGGATGCTGGTGTTGTGCATGACACATTGTCTTATTATAGTGACTATTTGTAGCAAGCAGTATTTACAAAATCTTTCGATCTATGAAAAAGTTATGGACCGGACACAAAATATACCCTATAACAGACTATGTTAAACTTTGACCTCCAAGTGTGACCTTGACATTGGAGGTAGGTGGCCGGTTGTTGCGCATGACACATTGTCTCATTATTGTGAACAAATGTGGCAAGTATTTACAAAATCCCTTCAAAGATAAGAAAGTTATGGACCGGACACGACATATACCCTCAAAAAGACAATGTTGACCTTGAATGAGCAAGTGCGACCTTGACCTTGGAGGTAGGGGTCTGTTTGCTGCGCATGACACATCGTCTTATTATAACAAACATTTGTGCCAAGTTATTTCAGATTCCTTTGATAAATGACAAAGTTATAGACCGGACACGAAAGTGTGACGGACGGACAGACGGACGGACGTTCCAACATTTTGGCCTTAGGGGCTTTTTTCTTTGTTATTTTCTTTGTTTTCTTAAGGGCTACTAGCCCCTAAACCCTTTGATCACGGAATGAATGTATTGTTCTCTTTTGTTCTCTGTACTGTTATATAGCCCCTTAACCCAAAATGTTTGCTCGGACGGACGGAAGTACAGACGGACGGACAGAAAGACAGACGGATTTCGAAAAGGCGGGGGACAATAAGCATTGGGGTAATTAATGTGCAATTTCAAAGTCCCTGCACTGGAACATCTGTTATAGTGTAAGAACGCATACAATTTAAGCGGATAGGAAACATTATACATACACTATATAGACACTGTTGGTTGTAGCACTAGTTCCATCATTCGTCCAATCAAAAGTGAAGCTGTCTTTGACGCTCCTTTCAGCATGTGTTATGGAAGCATTCTTAAACAGAAATACTACTGTGACAATAGATATCAAGACTAATCACGAATTGTAAGATTAAATTAGTTATTGTTATAACGAATTATGATTGTTTTATAAAAACTTTGTTGATACCTCTAGCAAAAAATCCTTTATGCATGACGAAATAGTGATAGAAAATGTTGTACTAAATAAATATGACAACCTGTTGAGTGTGATAGAACTCACCCGAGAAATATGATGTTTACCGAGGCATTTATCTACACATTGTATATACATATTATTTATTCCACAATGACATATATATCCTACTGGACAAAATTGTCCAAAAAATCGTTACAAAACTTTTCACTCAAATCGGGCTAAAAATAGCACATGAAAACTATTTTTAATTTATTTTTAGTACATTTCTTGGTTGTGGAGTTGTCCTTTGCATATTTTTCTGTTTTAATTGCCCCCTCTGATCTGCACAAGAAATTCAAATTTTATCACTTTATGGTTTTGGACTTTTTGGCTTCATTGGAGTTCCTTTACGATGCTTTGTACCAATCATTATTCATTTTAGTACACATATACATCTCATTTCTGGAAAAGGATGAAAACTCGAGTATGCAGCTTAAGAGTAAATTAAAGATACTTTTAAGGATTAAGATGACCTACCACTGCTGGACATCTATTAGTTGAGAGTACAGCGTTATCTGTATCTGTTAGCGTGCCTGTCACAGTACTATAGTCGTCGACATTTGTTCGTGCTTGGCATAAAAATCCTCTGAATCCTGGGGTAGCTGTGCTAATTTTACCAAGTGTTACTGAAATGGATAGTTCAAGAGTTTTACAATATTCAACTCCCTTGCCATAGCTTGCGCCATTTTGAGTTTAATATGTTATATAACATAATGTTTTATAAAATATGAAAAAGTAATATAAACAGTTGACAGGTGAATTGTTTAATTAAAAATATTATTATGGTACCAAAAACTGAAAGATTTTTTTTATCAAGAAAAACGTGAAAAATGTACTATGATTTAGATAAAAGTAAAACGTTTCAAGATTCAAGAAATAATTTGTGCAACTCATGACTGACTGTAGTATTTATAGCCATATTTCTACTGCGTGTCTAACACAGAAAGGGCAATTTTAATTTCTGGGTAAGCATTATGATGTTTATAGTAGATCATCCAGATTTCGGGTCACCATCATGTTTTAAGTTGATTATTATGATGACTTTTTCAGTAGAATACATTGCAAAGAATTTAAATAGATTATCCATTTTGTTTTTCTTCAGGACGTTGACTTTTAACTTAATGCAATTACTAGCTTGTCACTTATTAAGACACATCTTTATTAAAATGCGTTTGAGAAAATTTAGAGGCCATTAAGTTATTAAAACATGTGCCAACCTTCATATATATAAAATAGATCAAATTTGAATTAGTATAAAACATTGCAATTTTGCTATTTAATCAGAAATGTTATTTATCAACAGACCACAAATGTGACGTCATTGCGGTATACTAGTTCATGCGTAACACGTCCTTGAGTTTAATTGTTGCTTTTTAAGACAACAGTTTTTGTGTTTGTTTTTAATGTTATCAATTATACAAACAATGACAGCTCGAATGAAAAAAACGTGTTACGGCGAGAAAATAAAAAGGATAGTACTATAAAATAGTAGATCTATTTAGAATGTCGGTGAATATGCGACTGAGAATAAAATAAAAAGCAATGCTGTTATGAAGATTATGCTGTTGATGAAGATGTCGATGTTTCTGTTTGATGATAGCGATAATGATGATGATGATTTTGATGATGATGGCGGTTGTGGTTTCAAAAGTGATGGTTTGGATGATGATGATGATGATGATGATGATGGCGGTTGTGGTTTCAAAAGTGATGGTTTGGATGATGATGATGATGATGATGATGATGATGGCGTTTGTTGTTTTCAAAGGTAATGGTTTGTGATGATCATGATGATGGCGGTTGTGGTTTCAAATGTGATGGTTTGAATGATGATGATGATGATGGCGGTTGTGGTTTCAAAGGTGATGGTTTGGATGATGATGATGATGATGGCGGTTGTGGTTTCAAAGGTGATGGTTTGGATGATGATGATGATGGCGGTTGTGGTTTCAAAGGTGATGGTTTGGATGATGATGATGATGGCGGTTGTGGTTTCAAAGGTGATGGTTTGGATGATGATGATGATGGCGGTTGTGGTTTCAAAGGTGATGGTTTGGATGATGATGATGATGATGATGGCGGTTGTGGTTTCAAAGGTGATGGTTTGGATGATGATGATGATGATGATGGCGGTTGTGGTTTCAAATGTGATGGTTTGGATGATGATGATGATGATGATGGCGGTTGTTGTTTCAAAGGTGATGGTAGTGGTGGAGGTGATGCTGCTGCTGTTGCTGCTGCTGCTGATGATGACGATGATGATTATTATTATTATTTAGAAGGAAATGATGATGAAGGTGATGATGGTCGTGGCGATGATTATGATGTAGATGATGATAATGATGATGAAGGAAATAATGATGATGGTGATGATGATGATTTAGAAGGAAATAATGATAAAGGTGGTGATGATGACGATTATGATGTAGACGATGGTGATTACGATTGTTATAAAAATGATGATAAGGATGTTATAAGTACTTAACTTAAAAATCATATGGTAAAATTGATGGTAAAAAATCAAAATTCAATGCATTTGTTTGATATCATGAAAGGCAAATCCAATTCCAAAAGCTTATTAACTGCATAAAGTATACGCGTAAAACAAAAGTTCTTACCCGAAACTGTACTACCGCAGGTAAACGTGTTTGGTGTTGTTTCTATGGTATAGGGACATGGTGTAGTTCGTGGTGTACTGGCATGGTGGTTTGGGCTTGGTATCATGGAACTGCAACTTCCTGGCGGGGCTCCATTTGGGGACGAGTTTGAGCCCAAAATGAATAACGATACAACCAAGCACGTAGAAAGAATCATCTTGTTTGACTTTATAACCTAACAGCAGGAAAAAAACGTATAAAAATTATGAATAATTAAAAACAATGCTAAATAATGTTAAATAGGCATAATAATACGTATTATGTTTACTGAGTGGAAAAACCCCAACATGTTTTTGATCAATTTAAATTTTTAAGGTTCTTGGATGTTCGCAAGTAAAATGTTGCTTATGAAACCGGCTGAACAACCATTACCTTTCAAACAATTTTCAAGTTTCAAAAAAAAATGTAAAAAAAGATAAATGAATAAAAGAAAAAAATCTCAAATATGTACCATTTGTTTATGTAGTTAACAGAATTAGTTAATATATATAAATCAGAATATAACAATTTACTTACCGTCGTTTACTAAAACAGTAAAGGATCACAATTACAAATGTTTTATATAGCACAAATAAAACAGCTGGAAGCATTTAACACTATGTAATTAATTTATCTTATTGATAATAACTTCTTATTTTCCTATGTGAACGAAATATTACTTGTCCGCTTTATTCTTAAACGTTATAATGCTAATTAATATGTATTGCTTGACAAATAACATTAAAATGACTGATGGTTTTATAGTATGCATTATAATACGTCAGTTGGATGTCAATGTCACTGTAGTGAATGTGCGATGCGTTAACAGGACATCACGGGACTGGTCCCAGTAAATAATTTTTCAAGATTTGTGTTCAGTTTGAAAGTTTGTCAAGACCAATTGTTTCATATCATTTGCTCACTCCATTTTTCTACAGTAATCATTTTTATAATGCAAATTAGCCAAAATATGTAAACGTCCAAATGCTTTTAACTTAGATTTAATTAAGAATCTTACAAAATAATCAATTTTCAATGTTGCTTTCTGTGTATTTATTCATTATCATTTTATAGTGTTCTGTTTTTGAAGGCCTAATTGATCTATCTAAAGATAAAAAATAAACTTGTGTTCCAGGTTCTTTGATTTCGGTAGAGCTTCTATAATATAGATGGCTCGGTTGATGAAAACCATAAATGGGAATAATCGCTAAAGATGCATGTGTCCATGGAACTAGTCAAAGTCGTTTTTTCCTTGAATATATTTCTCAACGGAATTTGGCAATGAAATTTATCGTGTTCTAATAAAACCTAGTATACTACAGGCGAAGTTTAAAGTTACTTAAAGTGACATTATGCTCATACAAGGGTATATAGTGAGTACACCAGTAAAAGTCAGAACAAGTTTACATTTTGTCAGAATTTATTTCAATTTTATAATTTACTTCGCATGAACGATAAATTACACATCTGGTCCCCCAAGAAATATCTAAATATCTTACCAGAATTTACCTGAAACGGTCAATTTATAAAAAGAGTGGGGCAGTCTTTTTATATTTAAGGCAGGATATATATTCTATACAAAACGTTTTCCATTATCAACTGTTCGTCATCACCATTATAACAGTCAATCTTTCGAAATAAGTTGTCAATTTAGTTCAACTTGACGATAAAAATATGAGCATAATGTCACTTTAAAGAATGAAGTCACTTTGACCTTTACGCTAATGACAACAATGGTTGGAAAACTTCAATACAAAACTGTATAACGTACTAAATTGATATACATGTAAGTATGGAATTATTAGTTCTGTCAAATTATCTTTTCTGCCACAACCACTCAACAATAGGAGCATTTTAACTGCATGTATACAATTATTATTCAATTTGGTATTTTTTCTGATTAAATATGTTTATAAAATTTCGTATGTTTACGATACAACAAATTAAAGTGTTAAAATTGTAAACTTTGTATTACTAATTTTTAATAGTAACAAGGTGAAGAAAAGTTATTTGCATTATGAATTTACTGATATAAACAAATGTCAGAATGAAAACAATTTGTTTTGTTAAATTCTGAATGTGCCTTTACATTTAATGTATGTCATTTTGATGTCCACATTAGAATACAAGACACACTAGAATATTACGATTAACAATGACCTCAAAGCTTAGCAGGGGTAGTGTCATCCATTCTTGTAGTTAATCGAGTGGCGTATTCAGAACAGTGATGTATAAATATCTATTTATATAAACATTAACAATAATTTCTCATTAAAACTCATTATTAATTAAACCTTCCAGGAAAGTGCAACATGATGTCATTTATTTTCAGATCCGCATACATAATAGACATGTTTTGATTTATTAAAATTAAGTTTTGATATCAATCATTCATTTGAAATTTAGAGAAAGTGTTAAAGTTTGAGAAATACTGAGTTGAGAAACTAAACTACAGGTTTGCCATTTCTTTATCATACTCTGCAAAATCATATTTTGTTCCTTGGGCGTTCTCGTTTTTGACAAAACCATGAAGTTTCATTCATATGAAACAAAGTGAATTCCCAGTATCTTCTTTTTATACATTATTTTGCTGATTTAGAATTTCATCAATATTATTCTGACTATGGATTTGGGTAGAAATGTTTGGATAATATAAGATTAATAAAACTCGCCCTAAACATCAGCAAGTAGCCATCAAGGCATTGGCCCGTACATCATTTAATTTAATAAAATGTAAGTAATGAATATAATTGACATTTTGATCATTTAACATTGCAGTATTAACAAATTTTAAAGTACAATTTTGTATGACCACTGAAAGGTGGCGTGTATCAAAAATAAATTAAACATTCAAAATTATCTTGTCATCGACATGTACTATGTGCAGCGTCTGTTTCATAATGGCCGAATTTAAACAGGCAATCTGAATGTCCGAATCTCATAGAGTCCGACTTTTCTTCAAGACTTGTTATGGTCAAGTTTTTATAGTTGAGTTTCAGAGGTAAACTTTACATTGGCCCTGAATTTGAAGTGCTAACGCGCCCAATATTTCGTACTTGTCTTATTAATGACAAATAACATGGATTTCACTGTTCAAACATACATACACCTTAAACATGTTAAACAAACTCTATAAAAAGCCTAAAACATAACATTTCAAATAAATTCTTACATAGATCAACTTAGACGTTTAAAATTAAAAAAATATACAAAAGATAATAAAGAAATAAACTCATAAGTAAATCGAAACTCGAATTTTTGTATTGATTCTTAGCTCAGTTTCTGTGAAAAGCGTCGCACCTTTCATTTGGGGTCGTTTGACGTTATAAAAATGATATTTTTTTGAAAAAACTGACTACGAAAATACTATGAACCTTTGCACACCAGTTGTAAGTCCAGACCTACAGAAGTGCCAAAAACATCTTTTTAGTCCCTTCATGTCAAAAATCTCAATGCTGTCCCTTTAATACACTTTTAAGTCCCTTACCGGTTTACCGGAGGGGACTTTAGGTTTACCCTCCGTCCGTCTGTCCGTCCGTCTGTCCGTCTGTCCGTCCGTCCGTCTGTCTGTCAGTCCGTCCGTCCACAAAACTGGATCCCGCGATAACTTGAAAAGTACTGAAAATATTTTTATGAAACTTGGTATATGGATAGATGGCAGTATGGAGATTATGCACGTCTTTTTTTTTACTTCCTATGTTGAAAATTCTGGTTGCTATGGCAACAAATAGGCTGAATATATGGCAAATTTTACACATAAACTGGATCCCGCGATAACGCAAAAAGTACTGGAAATATTTTTATGAAACTTGACATATGAGTAGATGGCAGTCTTGAGATTATGCACATCTTTTTCTTTTCTTCCTATGATGAAAATTCTGGTTGCTATGGCAACAAATAGGCTGAAAATTTGGCAAATTTTACACATAAACTGGATCCAGTGATAACGCAAAAAGAACTGGAAATATTTTTATGAAACTTGACATATGGGTAGATGGCAGTCTTGAGATTATGCATGTCTTATTCTTTTCTTCCTATGTTGAAAATTCTGGTTGCTATGGCAACACATAGACTGAAAATATGGCAAATTTTACACATAAACTGAATCCAGTGAAAACTCAAAAAGTACTGGAAATATTTTTATGAAACTTGACATATGGGTAGATAGCAGTCTTGAGATTATGCATGTCTTATCTGTTCTTCCTATTTTGAAAAAATATCAGTTGCCTTGGCAACAAATAGGCTTAAAACATGGCAAATGTAACAATATTTGTGATTAGTCAAAAAGAGCTGAAAATTTTTATGAAATTGCATCTTTAATTCAAGAGTTATCTCCTCTTTAAGAATTTTGCTTTTAAAATGTTATATTTTGGTAACAGGGATGTTTCAAATATTAACTTTAGAGTGTCCTTCAGTCCGTCTGTCTGTCTGTTCATAAAAACTGTTTCCTGTGATCACTTTTAAAGAACTTTTCCAACAAGTTTACTTAAAATAGAGAAAAATTGAAACACTAGTGAATGGCCAATGGCCCTTCAGAATGTTGATGGGGTTCTTACCGGTAGGGGACTTATGGATTGCTTGCAATACTATGATAATTGCTTGTTATTCATGTTTATACGTGTAGGCCATGGAGGCATAAAATAAAGATCAGTATTGAAATAACAAACTGATATCATTAGTAGTTTTAAATTTTTATGTTTATCATTATGAACAAAAGACTACATAATTGTAGTCATATTATCATGAATTAAAGTCCGTGTTGGGATATATTATTTTACATAATAAACATGAAATTGTACAAGAAAGAGAGGAATACTATTTAAAAATTGACGATTGAAATTTCTAACAACTAATAAATAAATCAAACACGTACACCATGTGGTACAATAACATCCGCATGAGATGGGACGGCTACATCCGCAAGGTGACAGAGGTTGAACGGAAACCGGATGAATAAGTCAACATTACATAATTATAGTGTGTATTTTAAAAATGTTTATGTTACTAAACTATACATATTTGTTTACATTGTAATTACTTGTCAGTAACACTTGTCATGTTTTCCAGGTAAGAATAAAAACCATATTATTTGAATATTTATTCTAGGAGTGTAGCTTTTTTATTTCTTGTATCCTAAGTTCTCAAAGTGTGGATAAAAAAGCCGGAAAATATATATCATGATTTTTTTTTCTTAACAATCTTACAAGCTTTTTTCTTTAATTCAGGATTATACCACAAAACATGAAAACAAACGTGTATTACTTACTACAAAGGCAATCCTAGCACACTATAAATCAGGTTAGTACACCAATGCCTTTAAGAATTAAAATGAAATAGTATCGTAATATAGTATATTATAATTTGTATCAATTAAACTGGACGAAATTAAACCATCTTATTCAGAGAGCATAACATACACGTAGTATCTTCTTTTAACTGTAAAATAGAAATATAGGAAATATTGTCTTGATGAGTGCCGAGTCTGTTTATTTCTTCATATAAATGTTTTAAAGGCACCAAATGCAATACAAATACACATCAGAACTACAGATGAAATTATTCCACCGGAGCCTGAACTGTTACACTTTGTTAATGACCCGGAGTAAGTCAAAGCCGTTGAAGCCACATTCTCCCAGAAAACTATTTGAGTCTGAACAACTGTGCATCTAAAATTATAAAGATTACAAAAAAAATGAGAAAAAAATTTAATGACATGAAGAAAACGTAAGTATGGTTGTATTTCATCAAAAGAATTTCACAGCATTTCAACTATTAACCTGAGTGTGTTTAATATCATGAAAGATGATTATGAGGCCAATATTACAATTTGCTAACTTTCCATACATGACTAACTATTGGACACCAACTTTCTGTGAAGGGATACAATGTTGATAGAATTTGTTGCCAACCCATTTGCTTTTGTTTCATTGTTCTATTTTGTGTGTAGATGGTGGTGGTGATAGTTTTCACTCCGGATCACAGCAGTAAGCCGCATTGAATTCACCAGAGAAAAGTTCAGCCACACTGTTGTGTGTATATTTGCATGTATATAGGCAATAAAATACGGTTAAACTAACTATTAGATAAGCGACAATAGACATAATTATTTTGACAAGAAATTACCTTGGCAAAAGACAACAGCCTACTGGAGATTTTATTTGTATTTAATTTAACTTTTAAAATTATTCGTTTGAATGAGTTGGTACATTAAATGTGATAGCTATATATATCTTAAGAGTTAACAGCAATGGCAAATTTGTATTGTAGACATATCTGACATGCATATTTGTTGGAAAGAATAATCTTAAGTGCCTACACAATATAAATGTCCTCTGTTGATTCTCCGCTGTGTGTCCAAGTGAACTGAAGAGTAGTCTTATCAGTGCCACTGTTTTGCGTAATTGAGGCCTTCTGAAGTGTAATTAAAAAAACTATATAAATTATTTATTAAGATGCCATATGCATATGCCATTGCCGGATCATCTCATTTGTAGTCAACACACAATGAACAACATTTTTGACATTTAAACAATTGAATAAAACTCTGATATGTTCTGAATAAGAATTTAAGATGAATAAATAAATTTCATAGTTTCACCGTTACTTTAAAGGGATTCGAGTGAGACTGAATTCGTTTCGAGATTCCCTTATTATTTAATGTATGTCTACACATTTAACTTATTTGTAAAATTTCAGATCATTCGCTCACACCGTATCTTATAGAACAAAAAAAACATTTTGTAGTGCAAAATGGCCCAAAAGTGAAAAAGCGATGAATTGCACAAAAATCGATTTTAGATTTAATTAAATAAATGCAAATCGGAATGTAATTCTTATTATATGTTGTATCATTTTTTAAGTAGCCGTAATGAATGTATGTAATATTTACAAACTACCTATTTTTAGGCTTTTGGACCTCTGTAATCCTTTAAAGCAAATGTGTTAATCATACACGCTTTAAAATGTAACAAATCTTATAAAACACAAATATTTTTTTCAAATATGAAATCATTAAGCATACCCCTGCACATTTATTAGTTGTTGAGGACGATCCATCTGATTCTTCCAATGTACCAACAGTAGAGGAACCGTTAACATCAAGTCGAGCTTGGCAAAGGAATCCCTTAAATGTACCTCCGCTAAGAGTAACTATCAATGTAATAAAAGACGCACATAACTGCAGGCAATACAATCAATTTATTACCTGTATTTCGCTGTTATTCTCTAAAGTAATGCGACTCTTTAAGATATCTACAGTTATTGCAAAAAAAAAACACAACAACAATGCTTAAATGAATAATAAAACAATATTTTCTGATAAGAATTGTGTGGGGACCATCACATGCCTTGGAATGTATTATTATATGTATACATCATTTTCATTTGTATGAGCAGCAGTCGTAAATTGTTGTTGTTGTTTTTGCAAATGGCACCTCAATATTTGTAGACATTATATGAATACCTTATAATTTGAAATAATGTGCCAATCATACTACGCATTTGGCAAGTTATAATAATAATTGCTAAACAATAACATTTCTGCCAACTTAAGACGGAAGGACGCTAATAAATAACACGAAAGACATGTCCGGATTACAAATTGTGTATGGTAATTACAAGATTACAAAAACAAACAATAAACAACAACAAATTTAAGAAAAACGAAAAAGCAATAATAAATAAACATAAGAAAAAGGACAAAAAAGACAGAAACAAATGACAAAAAAATGAATGATTTTCTTACTACTGATGCTTTCTCCGCAGTCAAATGTGCTTGAAGAAGGTGTTATGGTGTATGAAGATGGGGATGTTTGAGCAACAGCACCATGCGATGGGGTCATGGTATCACAGGCTCCCATTGGTGCTCCTATACTATACCCATCGGTAGATGTCACCAGATAGTACATCATCAACACATATACTACGTACCTTAACATGCTTATACTGAAAAAATTATTATCATAAAAATAATATAAATGCAACAACTTAGAGTTTTACCATGTTTAATATGTGATATAAATTAATTAAATATTGAGAAATATTGATGAAATAAAATGCATCTTTTCCTTTCTCCTATTTGCACTGTAAAAGTTTATATTTCATTGCAGTGAAACATATTTTCTGTAATAAAATATTGCACTGGTGTCTTGCAGGACTGCTTTCTTCTAAATTCAGGCAATATATAGAATTAAGGATGAAGTCTTTTAAACCGAAAGGTCAAGAAAAAAAGAGAGAAAAAAAGGTATACGATAATGAGAAAATAGAAGTTTTTCTATAAATACTCGATTTATTTTTATCTAGAGGTACAAAAATTATCATATTACATCATCGCTACCGTCACTCTTGAAATAATTTTTACCACTCGAAAAAAAATTAATCCAGTATTTATAGAAAATTATTAAATATCTCCTATATCCCGGATTGAAATTAAAGCAGTATCTTAAATAAAGGTAAATAAATAATGATTACAATAAAAGTTAAGATAATTATACTCACTTGCACATGCAGAGACGAAGGAAAAATTATCTGTCCGAAATATGTGTAACTTTATGAAATGTCACTTTTTGGGAATCCAAGTTGATTGTAAAATGATCAGTTCAATCTATAGAAACACCCGACAATGAGTAAATCACGTTTGTTAATCCGCACTTTTGTTAAATACTATTTATGATGGTGATTTAGTACGATTTATTAATTATTTACTTTTCTGAACGGTGTCACGGTGTGAGACGAGCGGATAACAAATTGATGCATTGTAAATTAAAGTGATATCTTTATAAGTGGTTCAAACTTTATAAATTTTCGTTACTTTTGATGATTTCTAAAAGAATGACGTGATATCTCAATTTCGGCATGTTCTGGATTAAATAAGTTCTTATATAAATCGTTGATGACACTTAATCTAAATCAAGTGTTTTAGAATAACATGTATAAAAATGGCATTATCATCCCAATAGAATAAAGATAAATATAAAAATTGTAAATATAACTATATAAACAATAATATATATATTTTTTTTTTTTTGGGGGGGGGGGGGGTTACGGCGCACCAACCAAATTTAGGTCGAATGACCGAAACAGGAAAGATGATTTAGTTAGTCTTAAGTGTTACAAACTTAAAGCAACACCAGGGATCAAAACCACCTCACCAGCAGGAGCTTAGAGATACGTCGCCTTATACGATAACACAAAGATAAACGTTGGCCTGAAATTCTGGTGCCTCGGTCATTGAAGGCAACCCCTTATGCTAAAGGGTGACGTTTCATATTGAAATGCATTCAATTAATAACAGAAACATCATTTTCAGTTAAAACTGATATCCTTTAATCTGATATTTGTTTTCCATGATGGTTTACTTTAAAATGCATATCATCATTATTGACTTTCTTCTTTCACAAAATAAAGCAGTTGACATGACCTCGTGTTGATATATGAAATGATAAAATTAGTATTGCTACTAAAGTGAGTGACTAAAGCCAGTAACACGCCAATGTCTGTGCTAGTAAATTACTGAAATATAAATTATGTCTCGCTTTAAAATTCAACTTAATGCACAAGGGGCAGTAGATATCTTATTAAGTACTTGTACTGCAGCAATCTATAGCGAATTAGGTCGTTATCCATTATTTATTAAACGATATGTGCAAATTATTACATACTGGCTTAAAATAATTAATAGCGATAATATCATTTTGAAAACTGCTATGTACGCTTCGTTTGAATAACATGAAAACAACAATCAATGTTGGGCTTCTAAAGTACATGGAATATTAAATGAGTACGGGTTTTCTGATGTTTAGAACAACCCATTTCAATACGAAGCCAACTATTTTGTTAAACGTTTTAAACAAAGGATGATTGACTGCTTTTTGCAAAAACTTTCTAGCGATATTTCAAACAGTCCATTGTTAAGAAATATATATGTACATTTGCATAACTCATTTGAAATGGCAAACTACCTGAAAATTCTCCATAACAGAACTTATAGAAATTGCATAGCAAGATTAAGATTATCGTCACATAAACTTCGAATTGAAACAGGTAGATACATGTATGGTGCTAATAGATTACCCCGAGAGGAACGCATATGTCAGCTTTGCGATAGTAATGAAATAGAAGATGAATTCCATCTTATATGTGTTTGTAATAGTTACTCTAATATACGTTCTATTTACATTAAGCAATACTACTACAGTATAAATTTGTCCCGTTGTATTTAAAAGTGATATTGTTTATTTCTTGAATTTACTTGACAATGTGTCTAGTATGAAACATTGTGAAATGAATCTTATCACAGCATATGGTTAAGTTTAAAATCCATTTTTTTTATATCTTTAAGAATGTAAACGCTTTATAATAGATAAGCTCACTTTAGTACTAAATGGTGTTAACGTTCATTCTCTAAAAATATGTAAATTGAAAATTTGTACTACAAGTTTGTTCATGTACCATGATATTGTGTTTGATTGTACTATATAAATGTGTGTAATATGACTATGTACTGAATGTATACGTCAATAAATTATCTATCTATCTATCTTATAAAAAATCTTACTGTGCATTATGTTATATGGCGAACATGCGTGACAAACACGTGCTTGAGCTGTGATTTGCTGGTCACGTTTTTGGTGAATAAATAAGAACGCTTATCATGTACAATGAACGACATTTCAGAAATATTTGCAATAAATCTTAAAATCTAAATCCGAATATTTATAAATCCTCAACAATAAATCAAAGCTCGTTCAGTTGAAAATATGAGTCACAAGGTCAACGTGTTTGGTAAAATATTGTGAGGTATTATGGAATCCATGATTCTGTACAGTCATCCTAAATTGACACCAAACTTGTATATACAACGCCCTAACTACCCGATGAAAAAATGACGTCACAAACATGCAGTATTATAATATTTATTCAATCTAACAATAAAACATCCAACTCCACGTTTATAGCTGAGTGGCACTTGTAAATTTAAGGTTTGACAGCCCCTTGTCTGGAATGCAATAAATCTGTTAGATATAGCACGATTTATTTCAAGATACAGTGAAATAAACTATTTACATTCACTTATTACTGCAATAAATAATCTAATTTTCAAATGCACGTGGCTGTTTAGAAAAGGAGGGCAATGGATAAATCATTGACATGATAGACGATGAAATATTTTTGAAATTCTTTCCCTCTTTCCTTAGATATAGAAGAAAAATAAATATAAATAATTTCATGTTCACCAAAATGACAGTATAATCATTGAAAACAAACATCAAACTGTTTATTCTTTAAACATATTTTTGAGTAGTTATCATTATATAATTTAATATAATTTATCATTAAACAAACTTTTTTTAAGGTTATTCAATATCATACTTTGAGAACAAATGTAACAAATGTAAATTAATTTTATATATTGACACCAACACATATACAATAATATTTATTAATAAATGTTATCTTTTGAGAACAAATCTTATAAATTCAATGCCATCTAATTGAGAATAAAGCTTATTCAACATTATTAATATATAATTTCTCAAATGTTAAACTATCATAGACCCATAATTCTGATCGAACATCACTCCCAAGGGATATCACTTAAGGGCGCATAGCTCTAAATACCTCCGTATTCAGTATTGTGCTAGTTAACTCCACTGAACTATTCATATTGATTGACGTTAGACTGTCCGTGCCCTATTTTGTGACAGGAACAAACATTTCGTTAAAACTGTGAAAGTATTTCTTTTGACATTTTATGTAGTATTATGTTGTTGTTTTTTCGGTACAACTGAAAAATAACACATGACTTTCGGAGCAATATAGTGGATATAGTCAACCATTTAACTGGCACATTACCTCTAGGCTGCATCTCGGGGTAACATAGCAGTTCTTAGGCCACAATACCCAATATCACCCTCTAGCTATACATGAACAATTAAGAACAAAGGGTATTCAATATTATTTATTCAATTGAAAAGGGGCTTATACTTATCGCATGCATGCAATGCGTGACACCACTATAAAGGGAGATAAGTCAACATAATTAGTATTCTTAGAACGCACGACCCTCATAATGTTCACTTCTGAATATATTTACGTTGTTTTAATTGAAGTGAAAGGTACAACTTTTTTTTTCTAAATTATCTTTAAGTGCTCGATTTATATAAAAACACTTCTGAATTTCAGATTCTTGCCGTGATGACACACTAATTATAGTCTTAAGTTATAATTTTATTTAAAATTATAAATCATTGTTCAACATACTTCTGTCTCAATATTATATATTGTAATATAAAAGTACGAGCGTAATGCATCTTAAGCTTCAATTAACATCTTACATAGTACAAATGATATCAATTAGGGGAACACACTTATATAATTATATCATTAAATATTAGCGGATAATGTGTAATCCTTCCTTCTTTCTTTCAACACTAGTTTGATGATGTCGTGTACATGTAAGTGGATGTATTTATTACGTTGTTTATCAATGTTTATAACCGCTTTATAAATCGTAGATAGTACTAAAGAACTTCATTCAAGTGTATCGATGCCCTGTCAGAGTACTGTATTTATTACGTTGTTTCTCAATGTTTATAACCGCTTTATAAATCGTAGATAGTAACATAAAAACTTTGCAATTCTTTGCAATGATGCTTGGCCTGGGTACTGTTTTTTGCCATGTTTATCAATGTTTATAACCCATTGTGAGTCAGAAGTTGTACAAATAACTTTTTCACTTGTATGAGGATGCTACACAAGTGTACATGGTACTATATTTATAAGATCGGTATTTGATGTTTATAGCAAAAGTAATTATAAATCGGAGATTAATTATCTCTAATAAGACAATGTCCACTTTTGCAAAATAATGGTAACAATAGCTTTCACTTTTGTGCATTTCTGTTTGCTTTTCATTATGAATAATATGCAGAATGTCCGTCAGGAAACTCGGAAGGTTGCTCATTAGCTTAAGAGTTTGAGATAAAACCATAACGTATTTCTGTATTTATTACTAAAACGCTTTTTTATATGAAATATATATATAAATATCCCGTCGTACTCTTATTTTATCAATTTTAGCAGTCCCTGTTGTATAATATCATGTGATAAAAAGTCGTGTACACGCCAATGCTCACTTTTAAATTATTTCATAAACTCGTCAACTATGAATTTTGGCAGCTCATGTAAAATCCCTTTTATATATTCATTAGTTGCATAGATTCATTTCTTTTCCTTCGAGATAACTTATCTGTTTGAATAAAGGAAATAATCATGGTGTCGCAAGAGTAATAAATGAATCAATCAAATAGAAGAAGCAAGTCCCGGTCGGTTTCTGAACTTCAATGGTATATCACTTTCTGACAAGAACGGCGTCCTCATATTCTCCTTCATCTTTAATTCATAAGCAGCAAAATCCAGAATACACTGAAATTACAAGAAAAGGAAAGACATGTGTATATTTTATACTGCAATTTATTCTATACTGCAGTGTACCACATTAAGGTAAATGAATTATTTTCTACCAATAACTGCTTCTGGTATGTTTCCTGGTGACCGGTCAATATTTTCTGTAATGTACTCTGCAGTATCTTATACTTTATATCGAAAAAGAATGCACATGTAATATAAAAGAAAATCATGCTCGTATGCAGTATAAGTATAATCTAGCTGTCAATCTTAAAGTGTAATGTGATTATTAGAAAATATTGGTTAATTTCATTTCCACAAACAATAAAACAGAAGAGATCAATAAAGGTCAATACGTTTTTAATACTCATGTATACTCACATTATTGTCATAAATGAAATCCATTCCAAATACGAGATCGTGCAAAGCTGAATCTGTAGATAGAAAAGAAGGATAATAACACGAGCTTGATGCAAAGAAAACTAAACAAATAGAGATGATAAGCTTATGCCACAAAAAGCTCAGTTTTTGAGAAAATTGTGCGTCAAATGTTGATGTTATCAATATATGAAAACAAATATGGGACTATTAGAAAGATAAAATCATTTGAATGGTGCAGCTAATTGTGTTAGCTCTTGAATATAACGTGGCATTCTTTACCAAACTGTACGGTGTGTATTTTATAGATAACACATACCATTAATGAATAAATTGACTTGAACCTCTTGACCACATATCTCAACTGACTTTGCAACGGAGTCATTTTTACACCTGAAATAAAAATAGCAAAGACAGATAGTGGTTGATTCTGATCATATTTTGCGACAGAATTATTCGTGATTTTAATGGTGTCTTTATATATTTCACATATTTAGGATAATTTCAAACTCCGGTAATTAAAAACTAATATGTTAAAATGATGATGTTATCCTTAAAGCTGATCAAACTAATTACAATGTAATTAGAAATCTGAAAATATAATCATATATTTCATAACCATATGACTCCAAGTTACCAGCCAAGTCAGAGTTATTTCTGAATGATTTGACAGTTAAATTTTTATTGTCGGTGCCTTCGTTATTTTGCATGCTTTAAAGCAGTTTTACAAATCAAAAGAAATATTACACTTTTACATGAAAATTGGTCATCTTCTTAAAACCATCTTTTCACATTTTACCTTTAATAACAATCCGTTGTCATTATAACAAATATAAAAGTACATTTTAGTCGCCTATATCCAGTCAGATTTCAACTTTTATATTATTCGTTTATTAATATACCTAGTTTCTTTGATTAAATTTGTATTTCTATATATTCTGTAAATCAACATCGATACGTAACAATATTGCTACGCAAATTAAGTATATTTTTGTTTGATTATTAGCCACACGCAATCGGTATGTCACCTTCTAGGTAAAGAAAGACCTGAAGTGCCCTTCCGTTAATCATATCAAGCCAGAGTCAACAACAAAGAAACTACTTATGATACAGAGTGATCTGTATAACAATCTATTTACCTTATTCAACTCGGTGATTAGGAGACTTCACTTTAACAGTGTTACAATAGCAGAAATATTTTGTATGTCAAACAATGATTATATACATGTATAACGATATAATAAAAGTTTACTGCAGCATACAAAAGATTTACCTTGTAATAACATACACCGATGGTAACAATGTCAATATAGACACAAACATTGTTCTTACCTCACACCATCCAACAATCGATGCGATATTGTAGACCTTTGTGTCGTTGTGCTTATCAGCGCTTTAACTATTTTGTCCTGTATCTGTAAATACAAAATACATGCTACACTTTAACCTCTGTTACGTCAAACACTTTTTATACAGCATTCTCATTCTCTGTATGTATAATACAGTTTTCATTTTGTTAATATGACTTACACGTATAGTATCACCAGACGATTGCATATTTATTTTGCAGATCAGGCTGCCCCAAAACATGGTTCACTTAGTATATGCTAATACATTTATAGTTGTCTCATTTAAGAAATTGTATCATAGTCATACATGTTTCATGAATGTGCCAAACTCAATGTTAGATTCACTATTTGTCACCTTGGTGCAGTAAGAAGTTACCTCCTTTTGAATTATACAATGAGTTAACCCGTTACTGCCCTAAGGTGACGTATTGGTCGTGTTTCTGAAATAGAATTTTAGGTTGTGTTACTCTGACTTTGACCATTAACCTGCTGGAACAGAAAGTGATTGGTTTGGCCATGAGTATAAAGCATAGCCAGCATGCACATTAGTTGTGGCTGTCCTGACCAGTTGGCTGACCAGCTTTTTAATCTCCTTTTTTTAATTTTTATCTTTCTATCCCTTATATGGAAGACAAGATCAACAAGGAAGGGCGGCACCCAATAAACGCAACCCCCATACTACCCAGCTACACAAGACCGCCAGCAGAAACTTCAAAATATTGAAGCTGGACAAGTTTATTTAAGAAATTAACGAGTTTTTGGATAATAATATATAAAGTGCAATTCAAACAACTCACTTTGCATTTTATGAATGGTAATATTATACACCGTTTGTCCTTCTCAACAACAGGTGCGTCATTTGTAACATCAAGACGGTCTGAATGTGATGCAATACGACGACGGGGTGTCCTAGGTCGGCCAAATTGCCCTATCTGCTTTGAGCTGCTCAATGCGTCGTGGGTTTCAGAGCCGTTATGAAGGCTTGCAATATTTCCTCCGGCAGATTTATCGTAATTACCAGAGTGTCTTATTGGCGGGAGACATGACCCGTCAACATGCAATTTGTCTCCAATCAAAAGATTTGGATTCTAGACAAAAGAATAAACAAATATGTTATAAAGTAGAAGCCAGTGTCATACTCTTAGCAAATTTCAACTTTAGATTTATAATATGTGTGCCCAATGCTACATATAACAAATTTCGTTTATATCATTTTGTATCTGTTGAATTATTCTCAAAATTATCAATAAAACTAACGAAAACTCGTATTTGTTGAGATGGTATAAATTTATTACTATAAATGGTATTAACTTTGAACAAATCGAAAAAAGCAATGGTTGATCACCTTGTGCTTACTGACATCAAGTGGTAAAATTTCTTCATTTTGTCGTGACTTTGGACGACGTTGTTGCCGCAGTTCCGCCTGACGTAGAATGTCATCAGACATTTCTTTGTACCTTGATATCCCCTGTGGCAAAAATAATTATCTAAACTTAATACAAAAAAGATCATGTTAGGAATAATGAGCATCATGTGTACAATATCTTGAGGTCGGAAATAGAATAAAGAATTCAGTTTTTTTAATCATACTTGTCTACTGTCGTAAAATCATATGCTATTATATAAGAATTAATGAATCTGAATGGCAATTTGAAAGGTGTTAATAACTGATAAATGGAAGCAGAGGAAATTGATTAAAAACACATATCATGTGGGTTTTTTTTAAGTGCTATCAATTAGAGATGATAACTCCGCGAAAGCAAACATAGCCTTATTGTTGTTTTCAGGATTGAATGACTAGATATGAATTGTTGTGGGTACAAGCATAGATTGATATTTGGATATTTATTGCAGATTTAAATTCTTTTATTTAAGAAAATATTAGCAATGTCTACATTATGAGTTTTATTTAGTGAACATTTCAATTGAAAGATCCTTACTCTGGCTTTTATATTTAACAAAAAACGTTGACATGTGCTATTTTATTATCAAGTATGTTGTGGTGAAATTATTGTATCCGCTAATCTGATGATTAGAATTAGACAGGTCAGAGATCTATGCATTGAAAATAGATTCCCATGAGAAAAATATCTGATATCAAGTCTCTATATTGACCATCATGCAATTCAACGTATCTTGTTTTCCCTGTAATAATGATTTTATATTGAATTTCTTTACAAAATAATATTTAACCTACCTTACTTTTACGCCTCTTCCAACAAACTGCTCTTGTATGTAATTAAACTAATCACCTTAAAGCGTATAACCAAATTAATTCCAGTTTCCTTGTCAAATAAGTCCTTTGTCTTTGGATTTTCGAGCGTTCCTTGCAGTTGCCGGAAAATGTTATTAAGATATATAATTTCCGATAAAATTACTATAGGCAGGTAGTTCTCGCAGCATTTACTACACCTGTATTGCTATAGTATTGATCTCCATCAAGATTGTATTGATTCCAAAAACACTTCTCAATAACTAGGGTATTGCTTAGCTGCCCACTTGAAAGAGCCGTCTTAATAAATAATGAATTACGTCATTGTTTCTTACGAGTCTTCGTGTATATATCCTATTTTAGCTTTTTAACGAGTATGCGCACTAATTAAACGAAAGCTTACGTTAAGAAAATGCTCAAAGGAAGGTATTCTTGATATTTCTAGGAAAGATTAGTGTCAATAAATATTAGAGGTTTGTTTTTGTTCGTAAACGGTTTACATATTGATAATAAGGTATATATTGATCTCAAGTAAAGGTCAAATGATCATCAACATGTACATATTTGAAACGATGATTTCTTGTGACTGACATATTGCATTCCTGTAAAAGTCAAATTATGATCAACATTGATACGATGCTTTCGTGTGTTATATTGCTTCCATAAACACTTGAACAATATATGTTGAGACTATAATAATTAATATGTAATTAAGCAAACTGGTCAAAAGTCCTTAAATGATAATTATATGGAAATGTTCCTCCTTGTATCCGTCTTCACAAATCCTTTGTATACGTATATGCAAAATGGAAAATTTAGTACATTTACGTAACTTTACATTGTTTTTTTTTCGTGGAATGTGGTACCTTATTAATAGTTTTACAAAATGACTTTGCATTTGCTTATGAAGACGAATCAACCGATAAAGTAGTATAGGTAGAAAAGTGGATACGTATTAAATTTTGAGAATGAAATTTAAAGACCCAATAATTGTTTATTGGTCGTAATTGGGGATAGCGCTGTTTGTTTCATGTAATCATTTAGGAATGACTTAACACTTAATTGCTTTTTCTATCATATCATTGTCACTAGATACCGAGAACTGATACCATAGTATTGTTCTCGGCCCTAGAAAATGCACAATTTAAATAATTTGATACACTATATATTATTGTGTATAGGCAAAAAATCTGCTGGTCACCGGTGCTCGGAAATTGCTCATTTATGTTTTTATTACATGACAGTTTAATGAGCTTGCAAACAGTTCGTTAGTAAGAATTTTATGTCAAAATGTTCTACCTTTTGACTTACAAACTAGTATAAAGACTTCGAGTTAGGGTTGAATACCTAGGATTTTTATGTGTCTTTTAGACATGGAAATAGTCCATTTCTGGAACTTTGTATAATAACATCTCTACAGCAGCAACCAATGTATTGAGTGTTACTCTGTAGATGGTATACGTACTGTATGCCTTTATTGAAAGAATAATTCCCTTTGGAATCTATAAATACTTTCTATATTTCAATTGATACATTAATAGAAATAATTGATTTTAGATTGAACAATTTACTTTTCCATTGTTACAAAATTCCAGCATGTTTTCTGATGAGAGACTAATTCATTGCCGGAAGATAAACTTTATACACGTTGTGACGATATTGAATTTTGTAGCATTCATGATAAAATCCATTGTTACTATGAATTCGTAAAACATCAGCGTTTCAAATAGTTTTCATAAATAGTTAATAAAGCTATCAATATAAATACAATGAATATCATGCAATGATATGATGTCGTTTTTTCTATTCTTGTAAAATAAATCCATTAGCGATAATAGTCACATTAATACATGGTCATTTTGTTGATTAGATGGAAAGCGTTTCATATTTTTTAAGATGGTAACTATTAGAACATATTGATATTTGATTAAGTTAATAAATATTGAGTATAGTATCACTAAATTGCCTAAGTTAACAATACAGAACACACGTCAAACATTGGTATACAGTATCGGTTGATTTCTCGAAGAAGGAAATGGAAAAAGGAGCGCTTTGATGAAACAGATATAACCGCTGGCCCCAAGATCAAAATAGCTTTTCCGAAATAGAATGATGTCTCAAACTTACAATTTTGAACTCCAATGTGACCTTCTGTTCATGGAATGTATCTAATAGTTCTTACTTCGTAAAGGTCGGTGTACCGCTTTCTTTTTTGTAGTAAGGTTGTAAACTTAATGTGTGCGAATGTAAATCTGAAAGAAAACAGCGCAAAACCTTACAGTTAAAGTGATGCAGTAAAATTTGAACCAATTTTATATGTATAAATGTAAATGATATAGAAAAAAGTTCTGCCAGCTATCATATGATTTGTCGTTTGACGAGATGTCTTTATACATTCGGATATGTATGACAGGGTTGTCTTCCTTTTTACTGGTGTGAACAATGAATGAAAAACTTAATTATGTATAGAATGTATGTTGCGACTTCCGTTAATTTATTTGTGTTCGCTCGTGAACATTATGAAGTTCTATTCAAACCCATTTTTGTCTCATACATGATATTACATCAATCCATTTCTTGATAATGCCCAACGCCTTTCGGGGAGCATCTGGGGAGCTTGAAAAAATTAGGATGAGTGAGATATTTTCTCCGACGTATAAGTATTTTGTTTGAACCTGTGTTGCACTTGAAAAAAAACCAAGTTTTCTCTCTCTCTCTCGAGGGTAAACCTGTTCTAGAATTTCAAGTGTGATCAACTGTTTCCAGCACTTTTAAGTGTTGAAAATTGGGTACCGTCGGTGCTAGGGGCGCGAGGGATGTAGCATCTTTTATTATCCCTGATGTACAGACTCGATCAAACCGAGTCTGCGATGTTCATGTAATTTTGTTGTGATAAATGCTTCCTATGGATCACTCTTTCCAGATTTTGTGTATCCGCTGATGTTGCTTTTCAAAGCATGATTGTATCATGTCTGATAGAAATACCATTGTAACTCACGAGTTCTTTCTATTGGTGTTCGTAGTTTCATACATACACATAAAGAGGTTTTGTATAAATATACAAGATTGATTTCATTATATACTGAACATCCCTTGTATAATAAAGTAAAATTTAGTGTTTAATCGTGTGTTTATAGTTTCATTTTATAGTCTTTGTAGGCATGACTTTTATTATTACATAAGTATGTTCAACTGGAAGCCTGGGGACTTTAGGCGAGGTTCTGGTCCCAATGTTACTTTATACTTACAGGTTTTCAACAATCTAAGTCAATGGTAACATTGCACTCAGTGAAAACCTAAAAGCTAAGGTCATTTCTCATCTTCTTAAAAGAAATACCCTCTTTGAAAACAAAGGAGGTTATGCAATTAAACGTATATATTGTTATTAAAACGTTGACATTGACTATTCAAGCAAACTCTTGATCAATAAACATATAAAATGTTACAATGGTGCTGTACAGAATGTGAGTTATTGCAAAAAATTGTAAAATAATAACTATTTTATTACTATAACCTGTTAAAAATGTGGGTTTTGTAACAATGACATCACTGAGTTGACAGATTTTTCGATTGGCCTATTGCTGTGATGTGAAAATATTGGGCCTGCTTGCATGATTTTAGGAGCTAATATGCTTTTAGTTGTTAAGGATAGTGAATGAATGAATGAATGAATGAATGAATGAACGAACGAATGAATGAATGAATGAATGAACGAACACGAACGAAAACCTTGTTGTTTATATCTTTACTAGACACTTTTATTTCTTGTCGATTGACTGTCCACTTTTCGCAGAAAAGTAGTCTTTGAGTTAAATAATTTGTCAATGAACTTCCGGTTGAGTTGTCAACGAATATTTTTACTGTATTTAACACTTTTTACAAATGAAAGTGGTCTAAAGGTGCATTTTTCTTATTTTTTATTATTGCATTTATTACTTTTTGAAAGCTTTTCACAAAGATAAACCTCAAATACTCAATATGATATTTGTTCAAACTTGCACGGTTTTCGGACATAATTTCCTGAACTGTCAAACATGTATTTAAAATATCAAACAACCAGAAGCGACGTAAACATGTAATGTCATGCCATTTTACACGTATATTTACCTATACACGTATTTTGTTTCAAAAGGGACTAATATATAATCACAGGAACTTGAAATTCTATCACTATTAACGATAATATGCGAAATATACCCCCTATATACTATAAAAACACGTGTTTTTTTTATAGTATATAGGGGGTATATTTCGCATATTATCGTTAATAGTGATAGAATTTCAAGTTCCTGTGATATAATTGAGTTAAAAAATCATTTTGATAATTATTTTCAATTCGATAATTGTACTTTTTGACTCTGGTCACATTACACTGGTCACAACCAAATTTTGAGCTTACTTGTTGGAGATGACCACCAGACCCGGACTGTCCCGAAACACGTCCTTTAGTTGTTATCATTGTTCATTGGTTGTCGATCAATCAGTCACTTTTTAATTAAAGCTGCACGCCTCCAGATGAGCAAAACTATTTCGATGAAATCCAAACTGAAACAAATGTACTACGATTTTAGAATAAGTAAAGCAATTAAAATTCTAGAAATAATTTACATCTTATGTGCGATTAATGACCGATTTTTCAGTTATTTTAACTCTATTTCTACCGCGTTACTAATGCAGTAAAGGCTATTTCTGCAAATGATGACCTCTTCATAGTAATTTACATGGGATGTAAGTGCCATTGATAATGTGGAAATTGCATTATTTTTGTTAAATACATTTTCAAATTAAAATTAGCATGAATCTGGAGGTGTGCTGCTTTAAGATTGAATAAAATATTATGCATGTTTCTTCTAAAATTAATTGATACACCCATTGACAGTCTCTATATGAACTACGTAAATAACCGATGTATATCAAGTGAAAAAATATGAGTTGTTTCCCTTATCTTCCAGTAAAATCGATATCTCTTATGCTATAACAATACAAATTAAGCTGTTTTTATAGCGCTAGTTCTGGGCGATTTAATGTCCGATTTTAAATTTTTTTACAGCAATTGAAAGCTTGTGATCTTTAATAGCTTTGTCTCATTATATATTTCAACACATCGTTTGACACTTAAGGTATTTAAGTATTTAAAACCTTTTACCTCATATAGACGTGTTTGACGGCTTTTTGACTGAAAAAATGACTGAGTGAAAAAATGGCCTATTTAGACCCAAAACACTGTTTTTCATTTGAGAAATGTTGTTAAAAATGTAATCACTTTTTTGGCGCCGTGCCCCCCCCCCCCCAATCCAAATGATTCATTAAGGGGGATCAACCCCTTCTGTTTGGGGGGGGTTTGAAGGGGGCAGCAGTCCCTTCCATTGCCAAGAAAATTTGTATGCGTCGACAATCGTCTTCTTCTCTGAAACTACTGAGCAGATTTACTTCAAATTTGGTCTGTAACATCCTTGTGACAGTCACACTGGAATTTGGTCATGTCATTCCAATTGGCCCCTTTTAGGGGTCAGTAGAGCTAAAAATAGAAAAACCTTTAAACATCTTCTTCTACAGAACTAACGGATGGATGATCACCAAACTTTGTTTGTAGCATTCTTGGGTAGTCTTTTATCAAGTTTGCTCATATTAATTTGATTGGCCCCTTTTAGGGGACCGGGTCTCTAGGGCTAAAAATAGAAAAACCTTTAAACATCTTCTCCTACAGAACTAATTGAAGGATGATCACCAAACTTTGTCGGTAGCATTCTCGGGTAGTGTTTTATCAAGTTTGCTCATATTAATTTGATTGGCCCCTTTTAGGGGCCACTAAAGCTAAAACTAGAAATACCGTTAAATGTCTATTTCTATAGAGAACTAATTGATGGATGATCACCAAACTTTGTCTGTAGCATTCTTGGGTAGTCTTTTATCAAGTTTGCTAATATTATATTGATTGGCCCCTTTTAGGGGCCGCAAAAGCTAAAAATAGAAATACCTTTAAATGTCTATTTCTAGAGAACTAATTGATGGATGATCACCAAACTTAGTTTGTAGCATTCTTGGGTAGTCTTTTATCAAGTTTGCTCATATTAATTTGATTGACCCCTTTTAGGGGTCTTTAGGGCTAAAAATAGAAAAACCTTTAAATGTCTTCTCCTACAGAACTAATAGATGGACGATCAACAAACTTTGTCGGTATCATTCTCGGGTAGTGTTTTATCAAGTTTGCTCATATTAATTTGATTGGCCCCTTTTAGGGGCCACTAAAGCTAAAAATAGAAATACCGTTAAATGTCTATTTCTAGAGAACTAATTGATGGATGATCACCAAACTTTGTCTGTAGCATTCTTGGGTAGTCTTTTATCAAGTTTGCTTATATTAATTTGATTGGCCCCTTTTAGGGGCCACTAAAAAGGGGCCACTAAAGCTAAAAATAGAAAAAACCTTCAAACATCATTTCCTACTGAAATATTTGATAGATGATCACCAACATTTGTAGCATTCTTATGTAGTCTTTAGGTAGTCTTTTATCAAGTTTGCTCATATTAATTTGATTAGCCCCGTTTAAGCTAAAGCTTAAATGCCCCAGGTCATGGCATTTCTTCAAATTATTGTTTAAACATATTCTATATTAGAATATATTGACATTCCAACACTGAATAGCAGTTGTTGCTGGTGAGCGACTCAATGCCATCATGGCCCTCTTGTTTAAAAAAAGGGGGTATGTTAAGATAAGTGTTAAAAAATACAGACATAAAAACATGAAATTTACATATACTTACACATTAGTTTACGTGATTCATTGTACTTACAATACATGTATAGCATGATAATCAGGACCATTATATAAGTATATGTACATTGTACTAATGGGAATAATGTTAATATTAATAATTATAAAATTTTGTACTTTTATTATCAATTTTATTCTTTTATCATAATGTTGGTAAAATTTTACCACCAAAATTTTCCTGTATAAAATTCAGATGTGCCAAGTTTTTATTCAACTGCAAGGGAAATCATTTCATGAAAATAATATCTTAAAGATGTACTTATTTACCTCCCTTTTCACTGTCAGTGCTCTCTATTTAACACACATTTATCTGTGAAATAAAATCAGTAATTGTTGTTCAGACTTATTAAATAGCACATGTATAATTTCTAACAAAAGAAATGTGTATAATAACATAATAACATTTTTTATTCTCTTTTCAGATTTTGATGTGACATGATTTTTTGGCAATAAAGATGCAGTGAACGAATGTCATAAAGGATTTTTTCCCCCATAAGATACTCCAAAAACACAGCTGGCAAGATGATGTTCATTGTATATGGAGCTTTTATTATCTTCGGGTTTGTGGCTTTGGTCCTGCAGGTTATGGCCTACAAAACAAGGCCGAGTGTGTCGGAGGGCAACAATCCACAGTTCCTCAAGTTTCAGAGAGGTTACTTTGCTGCATACCTTATGGCCATGTTTGCAGACTGGCTACAGGGACCCTATCTCTATAAGCTGTATTCGTACTACGGATTTCAAGAAGAACAAATTGCTGTCCTGTATGTGTTTGGGTTTGCTTCCACAGTAATAATTGGAATGTGGGCGCCATTGGCAGCTGATCAATTCGGAAGAAAGAAACTCTGCCTTTCATTTACAGTTCTTTATTCTCTATCATGTTTGATGAAACTATCACGAAGTTATGGTATCCTGATACTCGGAAGAATCATTGGAGGCGTGGCCACCTCGGTACTATTCTCCGCCTTCGAGGCTTGGTATGTTCACGAGCACATAGAAACACATGACTTTCCAAAAGAGTGGATTGCCGTCACTTTTGTGAAAGCTTCAACTTGGAATGGTGTTCTTGCTGTTACGGCAGGGATAATAACAAATTTTGTATCGGAATGGTTCCATATGGGTCCCGTGGCGCCATACATGTTAGCCATACCATTCCTGATCTTTGCAGGAATTCTCGTTTCAACACACTGGATCGAAAACTATAGTGGCAGTAAAGTAAAATTTAAGAAAGTTTGTTCCGATGGATTCAAAGGAATAATGTCGAGTGAGATGATCTTTATGGTGGGAGCAATTGAAGCTCTTGTCGAGAGCGTTATTTATATCATCATATTCCTTTGGACACCAATTCTCGAACCGGGCCAACCATCTCTTGGCATCGTTTTCTCATGTTTCATGGTGTGCATTCTAGCGGGACAGGGACTTTTTCAAATTTTATCAAGTAAAAACATAGAAGTACCAATTCTTTTATTATCATCGTGCGGAATTGCGCTGTTAGCTAACTTAATTTGTGTAAATTCTACAGACCCTGAAAATCGAAATACAAATCTCTCATTTATTGCGTTGTGCATATTTCAGTTTGCAGTCGGCATATATTTCCCGGCCATGGGGTATTTGAGAAGTCATATCATTCCAGAACAGCACAGATGGAGTATTATGAACTGGTTCAGAGTGCCGATTAATCTAATTTCTTGCATTGTGTTAATGTTGTTGCATGAAGACATGTTTAAACACGGGAATAGGATGATTTTTGTGATATGCTCGGGACTTTTAACTCTGTCTTTGCTCTGTGGCGTGAGATTTTTTAAACTTGCCAAAGAAGATGAAAGTTTGAAACAAACTTCTCCCCTAATGACAAGTGAGCATATTCATAATATATTTTAACCCTTGAACTTTCAGAATGAACTTCCCCAACTTACATTTCAGAACAGTCCATTATCAATTTTAGGGATGTCATCATTGTCATGACAAAAGTTTGGAAGCTTGTCAAACCAGACTGAACATGTTTCACAGTATGTTGGCTGACCTAGGCTCTGTTCTTTCGGCAAAGGGTTTTCAATTTTAGCTTCAGCATTATTAGGGTGGTGCTTGATACATGTACATTTTTTACATGTAGCTAACATGTACATGTACAATGTATAGTATTATGCTGAATAAAATCTGTTGGGGTTAATTTAGAATGTGTTTTTGCAGGCTATCACATAACAGCAATTTAATATATTAAATCAAGAAGAGTTTACACATAGTGATTTATTTGCAAGGCATTTGAACAAGTTTTACTGTGTCATACAGGGATAAAAGCTTGAAAAGATTTAATGTTCATGTATCATGTGTAGTAAAATTTTAAAGTAACGAGAATATTGGGCATCTTCCTCCACCAATAAAATTTGATTCTTTCTATAAATACATTAATTATTTATGAAAATAAATATTTCATGAGTGGCGGACTAGCCACAACTGAAATATGATAATTTTCATACCACAACATGAAAATAAATCATGTATTTATAGGAAAACCTTGAATTTTCTGTTTATTACATAATTTTTTTCTTCTTTGACATTACAATTTGAAAAATTAAAAAAAAATCTCTTAAATTTTGTTTACTGGCAGAATTTAAAAGAAAGTAGTCCAGCAAGACACCAATGCAAATAGGAAATATATGTTTCACTGAGGGGAAAATTAATTTTTACAATGAAAATACAGAAAAATGAAAATAGGCATTTTATTTCATCAATATTTCTTAAAATTTCATTTATAAGTATATTGTATAAATACATTTAATTTTCATCTACAGGATGCAATTCTTGGATTCAGGTCTGATATGGGAAACTTAGCTGTTTTGTTGTTACATTTATTTAGGTTGTTTTATTCATTATTTGCTGTGGTAACATTGTGGATACAAATTTGTTGGGATGTTTTTGTTTTGTAAGTGATGTTATTAAATATTAGAATTAATCAAGGGTCCAATGTATAAAACTTGAAATCAAGCCAATGGACCAGATGTTCAAATTTTTTTTAGTTCATTCTAATTTTGTAATACATTGTATTGTTAACATAAAACACGTAAAATTTTCACTTAAAAAGATTTTGAAACAGTTAAAATTACTTGATATAAGATTTAAAGATCAACTTTAAAGTTATTGAACACTGTTTTGAACAACATGGCCATTGTATTGTTGTTACTGACATACACTGTAGTAAACTGTATAATGATTGTTTGATTTTAACCTTTAACCTGTAGCATTTCTTAAATTGCTTTGGCCAGCTTTCATTTTGGGAATTGCCCATTAACAAATTTGGGGATATCAAGATGAAAATGTAAAGTTTGCCAGACAATATTATAGTATTGAGCCTGGTCAGTCTCACTGCATAAATGTGCATTCTGGTCTGGGTACATGTATATACTGGTGGCAAAGGCTGGTCATTTTCAGTTTCACCAGGGTTAGGGCTATTTATAAGTACTTGTGAGGACTTGCCTATGCCTTTTGTCTTGAGCAATGTTGACCTGTATCAAAATCCCTCTTATTAATAATGGACAGGTCCAGTATCAAAGGAGGACAAGTCCATTTTGCAAAGTTAGGACATTTATGAGGCTTAAGCAGAAGTTTTACCGTAAAACTGTGGTCATTTTTTTGTAACTAAGTGCTTCTTCAGTGTCTATTCTAGGATTTGAAAAACAGGACGGATTTTTATTGAGTATTGTTGATCTTTTTCCTGCTTTCTCTAGTATATAAAATATACCCCCTGCCTCTGAAAAAATTTGGTTGAATTCTCAAAATGTGGGTGAATCCTCCCATCCCCCCTCCTAGAATACATGTAGACACTGCTTATAAAAGGATTTTTTAAAAATAATTATGCTCATTATTTATGAATTTATATATCAGCCACATCCGAGAGAAAATACTGATGATCTCAAATAACTCTAATAACAAAATTGGGCTTGGAAAATTGAAATGTTATTTTAAGTCTCTAATGTTTATTAGTATGAGTACTATCAGTGTTGAAACTAAGAATTGCAAGATTTTATTTATGGGGTCATCACATGTTTGTATACAGTCACCTATTTTGAATAACAGTGTTGGCTCTGACTGTTTTTATGTTTAACAAGAAATCTTAAGGATTGTCGATGTATAATTTGAGTAATATTTGGGTGGGATTTTAATTATCAGTTGTTTTAAGGAATACATCTTTGCAAAGTTCAGTAACCAACAAAATCTACCAACTAGTCGCTCTAGAGTTATTTCCCTTGAATAGCCAAAAATTGAAAACATTCTCTTGGTCTGGTAAATTTCTTGAACAGTTACTTAAGAAACAAATTTGATTTGGTCACTATGTATAACAGTGGGCATAATATCTCTGTGAAGTATGAAAAGAAGCAAACTGATTTACAGAAACCATGTAAGTCTGCAATAATTTTTATCCTCATTTTCTTATCATTTTTGTAGAAAGTAATAGTAATTTTGTGGGTTAATGCTTTTGTTATTGTTTATAAGGAACTGTTACGATCTGGATTGGGGTCCAAGTTTCATGTGATGAGATATCGTTAAACACTAAGTGCTTGTTTTGTTTTTTGTTAATTTGTTGAGATTATGAATACCTGTTATTGAGTTTAATAAGTTTAAAATCACGTGCATTCAATATGTAAACATACATGTAAACACTACAGCTACATGTATTTCATTTATTTGGTGTTTTATTATAATTTTATTCAAATTTTATCGTAGATTTATAGTGAATGATTCAGGTAACTATTAAAAAATGACATATAAATATGTATCATTTTAAAAACAGCAATTTCTTTGAAAATCAATTTTTGTACATGTATGTATAACAACAATAACAACAAAATAGTATTGTTACAATATGCACTGTACATATATATACATTTTTTTTCAGAGTGAAATGTTTTATTATTATCAATCATCTAATATGGATATTAATATACATTGTACATATGCCTTCAGATTTATGTTGTTTAATTTGTGTGTTACTAATTTGTCAGTGATAAGATTTGAGAGTTAAGATGCATTTGAATTACAAATGAAGGTTTATAGAACAAAGTGTTAATTTTAAGAGAAACTTAATAGATTATATATGCTTCTATATGTTATTTATATTTATAAAAAAGTGTTATCATAATTATATAACCTATAATCAATTTGAATGCTTATATATGTATGTAATATCATGAGCAGCATCTGCTAAATAGTGCTAACATAAATATTATTGTCTAAATAAATCAGCTTATATTTATTTTATTAATAAATTGGCTAAACATCTTCTAGATAAATCTTTTAACATATTTTACAAAGATATCTGCTAAAAATGTAAAATATTGCCTATTATGTCTAGATAAATCTGATATATACAAGTACTTTCAAGGTTAGTCTACTAAATATATCTGCTAAATATCTATAACTAAATCTGCTAAATATATGCTTAATCTTCTGTTCTTTATACATGTTATAGATAAATGAGTTTTCATAATTTAGGAAATAATTAATCAATTTTCTGTGCCTTGAAGAATAGTGCACGGTTCCAGTTCAAATGTGCAGGAATTTAATCATATAGCCAGACAGCTATGAAAATAAAAGATATTTCATTATTCCGGAGTAAATTTATATATCTGTTATATACAGTCATGTATATTGCATTGAGGGTGTATTGTTAAGATTGAAGGTTCAATTTTCAACATTAATAGATTTTTTATGTGCTTGAAAATTTACAATAATGGAGATTGCAAAATTTGTTTATTATTTTCTATAGCTCCCTTTTTTGGTCAATTAAGATTGTCCAGAGATTGTTCACCTTCTTATTTATGTTTATCATGAATAAGTATCTTGATAAAATAGCTGCCTGGTTTTACCTTAATACAATAGGGTTTTTACATGTTCCTCAGCTTCACACCTTGGTTAAGTTTTGTATCATCCCCAATTTGTTCAGAGCCCTTTGAGATATTGCTTTTAAACTTATTACTCTAGGTCATGTCAACAATATCCACAAATATGCAAGAGAACATAATTTTGTCATTTACAGGGCATGTCTGGCTTAAATGGTTAAGATTTTTGACTTCAAACCACTTGCCCCACACTTCTCTGAGTTGATATCCCACCAGGGAATTTGTATTCTTTATGTGGGGAAGCAGTTCAGCAACTCTAGTGCCTGTTTGCACCTGAAATGAAATCATCTGTATTTTGCTGGTGTCAAACTCCCAGGTTTCCCCTGAAGATGATTTTTTTATGGGCAGGTCCCACCTACCAAACGATTGCTTCATTGAGTGGCAGTATGGCCGAATGGTTAACACCTCAGACTAGTAATCTAAGGATTGTTGACCGCTTAGGTTCAAACCCTGTCCGGGGCAAGCATGGGGCTTTCCTTTGAGCAAGAAACTTTACGCTCATTGCTTTGCACTGGTTGGTTCAAGGAAGGGATTATAGCTTCCAACACAATCGAATTGAAATAAATTTGTATAAACTAATTGCTAATTACCGGTGTAGAGTTTTGTCGATTAAACTAAAGTACTGCTTTTTTACTCTCTAGTACTGCAAATATTTAAGTGTGCTGCCCTATTGTCTGTAATGTTTACAGTCATGTATTTGAAAATGCTTTAATTCTGATTTAATAAAAAGATTAACAAAACAACACAGTTTACCAATACTTGTTTCACTTTATTAAGCTTCTTCAGTTCATACAATATTAATTCTGATTCCAAACACAATTTTCAATGACTATTCCATAGTAATTACTTAATAGTGTCAAAACACTCTTTAGAAGTGTATATATTGTAAGTTGGCAAGCATCAGAATAAAAAATGTTTAAATAGTTCCTCATTTCTTTTAAAGCTTGACTATTCAAAGACTAAGGAATTGGAATTCAATACCAAGATGAGAGTTTTATTTTCAAACATTCTAACACTATATATAATTATTTACCCTGCACATGGTGATTAAACCTAACCAGATTCTAAAGATCAGGTTGACATATACTTTATATAATTTTTATTGTAAGTGTGGTTAAGTTAAAGTTTGATCCAGCTTTATGACTCCAGCTGTTAACAAAGATGTCAGTTAAAATATATCATATGATATTTATATCTCATCAGTTGTAAACAATTTAAAATATGATTATCTATAACTGAAAATGAGATAATTGTCAACAAGTATGATAAGATGAGAATTATGAGGGGGAAACAAACACTATGAGGAGGTAAGTTATATGAGAAATGCAATATGAGGAGTCAAGGTTTATGATGAATGGGATATGAGGAGGCAAGTTATATGGTATATGTGATATGAGGAGGCAAGTTATATGATGAAAAGGATATGAGGTGGCAAACTATATGTGGAATGTGATATGAGGGACCAAATTATATGATGAATGTGATATGAGGAAGCAAGTTATATGTGGAATGCAATATAAGGAGGCAGGTTATATTATGAATGAGATATGAGGAGGCAAGATAAATGATGAATTTGATATGAGGAGGCAAGTTATATGGTGAATGCAATGTGAGGGGGCAAGTAATATGATGAATAAGATATGAGGAGACAAGATATATGATGAATGTGATATGAGGAGACAAGATATATGATGAATGTGATATGAGGAGGCAAGTTATATGGTGAATGTGATATGAGGAGGCAAGTTATATGATGAATGCAATATGAGGAGGCAAGTTATATATGATGAATGAGATATGAGAGGACAAGTTATATGATGAATGAGATATCAGAAGGCAAGTGGTATTATATATCGATGCAAGTTATATGATGAATATGATATGAGGATGCCAGTTATATGATGAATGAGATATGAGGAGGCAAGTAATATGAAGTGAGGATGCAAGTTATATGATGAATATGATATGAGGATGTAAGTTATACGATGAATGAGATATGAGAGGACAACTTATATGACGAATGAGATATGAGGAGGCAAGTTATATGATGAATGAGATATGAGGAGGCAAATTATATGTTATGAGGTTGCAAGTTATATGAAGAATGTAATTTGAAGAGGCAAGTAATATGATGAATTTGTTATGAGGAGGCAAGTAATATGATGAAAATGATATGAGGAGGCAAGTTATATGATAATTGTGATATGAGGAGGCATGTTATATGACAAATGTGATATGAGGAGGCAAGTTATATGATGAATGAGATATGAGGAGGCAAGTTATATGACATATGTGATATGAGGAGGCAAGTTATATGATGAATGTGATATGAAGAGGCAAGTTATATGATGAATGTGATATGATGAGGCAAGTTATATGATGAATGTGAAATGAAGAGGCAAGTTATATGAAGAATGGGATATGAGGAGGCAATCTATATGATGAAAGTGATATGAGGAGGCAAGTTATATGATGAATGGGATATAGAGGGGCAAGTTATATGACGAATGTGATATGAGGATGTAAGGTATATGATGAAAGTGATATGAGGAGGCAAGTTATATGATGAATGTGATATGAGGAGGCAAGTTATATGATGAAAGGGATATGGGGAGGCAAGTTATATGACGAATGTGATATGAGGAGGCAAGTTATATGATGAAAGTGATATGAGGAGGCAAGTTATATGATGAATGTGATATGAGGAGGCAAGTTATATGATGAATGTGATATGAGGATGTAAGGTATATGATGAATGTGATATGAGGAGGCAAGTTATATGATGAATGGGATGTGAGGAGGCAAGTTATATGATGAATGGGATATGAAGAGGCAAGTTATATGATGAATGTGATATGAGGATGTAAGGTATATGATGAATGTGATATGAGGAGGTAAGGTATATGATGAATGTGATATGAGGAGGTAAGGTATATGATGAATGTGATATGAGGGGGCAAGTTATATGATGAATGTGATATGTGGAGGCAAGTTATATGATGAATGTGATATGAAGAGGCAAGTTATATGACGAATGTAATATAAAGAGGCAAGTTATATGATGAAAATGATATGAGGATGTAAGTAATATGATGAAAGTGATATGAGGAGGCAAGTTATATGATGAATGGGATATGAAGAGGCAAGTTATATGATGAATGTGATATGAGGAGGCAAGTTATATGATGAATGTGATATGAAGAGGCAAGTTTTATGACGAATGTGATATGAGGAGGCAAGTTATATGATGAAAGTGATATGAGGATGTAAGTTATATGATGAATGTAATATGAGGAGGCAAGTTATATGATGAATGGGATATGAGGAGATAAGTTATATGATGAATGTGATATGAGGATGTTAGTTTTGTGATGAATGTAATATGAGGAGGCAAGTTATATGATGAATGGGATATGAGGAGGCAAGTTATATGATGAATGGGATATGAGGAGGCAAGTTATATGATGTATGTGATATGAAGAGGCAAGTTATATGATGAATGTGATATGAGGCAAGTTATATGATGAATGTGATATGAGGAGGCAAGTTATATGACGAATGTGATATGAGGAGGCAAGTTATATGACGTATGTGATATGAGGAGGCAAGTTATATGACGAATGTGATATGAGGAGGCAAGTTATATGATGAATGTGATATGAGGAGGCAAGTTATATGACGTATGTGATATGAAGAGGCAAGTTATATATGATGAATGGGATATGAGGAGGCAAGTTATATGACGAATGTGATATGAGGGGGCAAGTTATATGATGAATGTGATATGTGGAGGCGAGGTATATGATGAATGTGATATGAAGAGGCAAGTTATATGATGAATGAGATATGAGGAGGCAAGTTATATGATGAAAGTGATATGAGGATGTAAGTTATATGATGAATGTAATATGAGGAGGCAAGTTATATGATGAATGGGATATGAGGAGGCAAGTTATATGATGAATGTGATATGAGGAGGCAAGTTATATGATGAATGTGATATGAGGAGATACGATATATGATGAATGTGATATTAGGATGTAAGTTATATGATGAATGTGATATGAGGAGATAAGATATATAATGAATGTGATATGAGGAGGCAATATATATGATGAATGTGATATGTGGAGGCATGTTATATAATGAATGTGATATGAAGAGGCAAGTTATATGACGAGTGTAATATGAAGAGGCAAGTTATATGATGAAAGTGATATGAGGATGTAAGTGATATGATGAATGTAATAAGAGAAGGCAAGTTATATGATGAATGGGATAGGAGGAGGCAAGTAATATGACGAATGTGATATGAGGAGGCAAACTATATGACGAATCTGATATGAGGAGGCATGTTATATCACGAATGTGATATGAGGAGGCAAGTTATATGACGAATGTGATATGAGGAGGCAAGTTATATGATGAATTTAATATGAGGAGGCAAGTTATATGATGAATGGGATATGAGGAGGCAAGTTATATGATGAATGTGATATGAGGATGTAAGTTTTGTGATGAATGTGATATGAGGAGGCAATATATATGATGAATGTGATATGAGGAGGCAAGTTATATGATGAATGTGATATGAAGAGGCAAGTTATATGACAAATGTGATATGAAGAGGCAAGTTATATGATGAATGTGATATGAGGAGGCAAGTTATATGATGAATGTGATATGAGGAGGCAAGTTATATGACGAATGTGATATGAGGAGGCAAGTTATATGACGAATGTGATATGAGGAGGCAAGTTATATGATGAATGTGATATGAGGAGGCAAGTTATATGATGAATGTGATATGAGGAGGCAAGTTATATGATGAATGTGATATGAGGAG